TTAAGGCCGATACCAATAGGGGGCAGATTATATCGTGCATCCCTACTTGGAAACCAAGTCCAGTGGATATTTTTTGAATTTTTACGGAATGACTATGACCTGGATGACTGAGAACCTTCATCAACATTTTCAGAAAGAGTTTAGAAAGTGACTCCAGGAGTGGACAAGCTATCAAATTCACCCTGAGGTTATAGCTTGCATTGTTCATAGAAAACACCCACAGATCCATCTTTGATTGGACAGCCCTCAGTTGGCATGTTAAATGTCGAAATTCAAATCATAAAAATAGATAATTCAAATATTGAAGGACATTTTCTCTTTTCTCTAAAAGAAAAACCATCAGTTAGTTTAGCAAAGTTAACTGTGAAAGATCTGAAACTTTTCTGGAACATTTCATTTGTACAGAACTCTAAAGGTTTCGCTCTGACACTGATCTTTATTCCCGTGGTTTTTTTTGTTAATGTCTTTATTCGTGTGTTTTCTGGAACCGTCCTGTTTGGTTGCCTAAGGGTGTATCTATGTACTGCATACGTAGTTTCTGCATCATGTTTCCTGATGTTTCATTGCTAACACTAAAACCTTCTTCAATTCCCTTTTGGTGAGACCTGACACATCTTCAGGAAATGAGAGGAAGTCAAATTACCTTCTACTTACAAACCTGGAATGTGCTGTATTTTTTTCTGGCATTTGTTTCCTCCACTACAATAGAACACTATCGGCAGTGATTAGAGCTTTGAAAGAAAATCGATTCTCATATTGTTTATCTTTTCTGGGTACATAAAATCCTGAAATTGAAAGTAGTTGAACTTTATTTTTTCCCAGGTAACTTGATCAATTCAATTAACGTCATTTCAAAAAACGTTATTAATCCCATCGGGAAATTAAATAAGTTTAGATATATATATATATATTTTTAAATGTGTTTTGTTTCAAACTTCGTCTCCCTCCTTATAAATAAATCTCCTTTTGCTGTCTGTACAGGATGGAAACTATGACTGCAGCTCCAGCAGCACTCTGACCTTCTGCTTCGCTCGTCCATCTCGTCAAAGCCAGAGACGCACATCCGTCCCCACCAGACTCCAGCGACAACGATACTCAGCGCCGGTGAACGCCGCTGCAGACTCCAGCTGTGGCTAAGAAGGGAAAAAATTGTGCTTTTGCACTTAAAAAATGCCATAGATAAGAACTACGTAGGAGTATTTTTTAAATAGTTTTTTGTGGGGCTCTTTTTAAATGTAGAAGTTTTATGTTAAGTGTGTAGAAGAGCTCTGAGCAAAACCAATTCTGTTGATGCAATCTAAGTGCTCATCTCTTTCTAAAGATGATTGTATTTCCCTTGCTTTTTATTATGATTTGTATTATCCTCAATGATATTAAATAAACTTTTCTTCCACCTTTTAGCTTTAATGTTCATATCTAATTACCAGTTTTGTGGTCAAGACCACCTAACCCGAGACCGAGACAAGACCAAGACTTTTACGGTCCGAGACCGAGTCAAGACCAAGACCAGCGCCAGTATGTGACAATAAAATGTGAAACATGATCAAAATCACAAAAATTGATCTAAAAGGCCCACAT